AGTAAATAGCATAAGATCATGGGTAGACAGAATATTGGATGTTTACAAAGGAAAAAAGTGGATTTCCTTTCCTCTCAGAGAAAAATGACAAGTTAATCAAATATTTCCCTTTAACCAAATATCTCAACTCATGGACCGATAAGTAGAATTTTGTTTTTGTTAAACATGAGGTTCAGTGTGTTGGGTTCATACCTTTCCTTAATTAATATATTATAATCATTGTCCCATGAAGGCAAATCACTGTTCTACTTGCTTGTTTTTAAAATGTATTATTCTGTTTGATCCCCATTCCTCATTCCCACCTCACTCCATGTCTAAGTTAAACAACTGTTCTAAGATGCTTCTGGTTTATATATGTTCCTGTAAAATGTGCAGTATTATTCTGCATGCACACAAAATTGTATTTGTATGTATGCTTTTGTCTCATGTATGTCATTCTATTTTTTACTTTTTTGCCCAACCTTATAAGATCTATCTATGTTGTACATGTATTTGTCTGTTACTTCCATCTTCGATATATGATTTCCTGGGATGTGGGGAGCAACTACCACATTTTATGTGCCTAGTATCCTAGTGATTAACCTTCAGATGAACCCAATCCCCACAAATCAGGCTACAGTAATCATCACTATATATGTACCTTAGGGATCTATATGACAATATTTTCAGAAAATGCACCAAGAAAGTGCATTACTAGAAGTGAAATGAATATGAAAACATATTTAAGTTGGATAAATATTACAAAATCTGTTCTTTGGAAAGATGGCACTGTTACTGTCTGTGGGTCCTCACCTGCATGCTTAAAATTCAATTGTACTTCAGGCACACACAAAAAGAGTCAATAATAGATTTATTTACAAAGGGAAAGGAAAAGGTACAACCCAGGGAAAGAGAGAGAGAGATACAAGTTAACTAGAACAGCCTACCAGTTCCACTGACTTGGACCCTAACAGCACACTGAAAGCTCATCAAAGAGCCAAGCAACCAGCCACAAGGGCCAAAGAGAGTAGAGAGAGCCTAACATGGCTCCCCATGGATATGTGTGTATGTGTGTGTACATATACACACATACATATGTATATACACATATGTATATATACGTGTGTGTGTGTGTGTGTGTATCCCCCAAAGTCCCAATCTAGTTGCTTAGCTCCACCCTTGGGTCCTCATAGTTTTCCCTTGATATTGCTGGGAGTTGTAGTTTCAATGACTGGAGTTGGGGGTGGAGTCCATAAAACCTGCATCTGCAGAGTTTGTTCAGGACATCCTTTCCCACTAACAGCACCATGTTTCATGCCCACCAACAATGCATGAGAGTTCCTATGTCCTCACAAACCTGATAACACATTTTACATTTCTGCTGTGAAATGAATGTGTTATTTTTAAAATTTCCATTGTTCTGATTACTAATGAGTTAAACTCTCTATATACACTTGGTAGCTTTTAGGTTTCTGCCTTTGTTTATTTTTTTATTACCCTTCCTGCCTATTTTCTTATTTTCCAGTAGTTCACAACCTACACAGTAATCTCAATGATGTCAAACAGTGTTAATATCTTCTCCAATTTTTCCATCTCTCTTAACAGCTCTCATATTTCATTGTCTAGCTATTGTTAAATCTGATATATTCAAATTTGATAAACTTTTTGTCTTATGGCTTGAACTTTTTAATTTAAGCTGCATTTCTTTGAGTATGAAGGCATTTAGGAGACTGATATCATGACCCCATCCTTGAGGAAATGGTCAAAGGATAACAGGAATATCTGAAAGCTACCAAGAGCCACCATGAGGCAAGGTGAAAAGGGAAGGCTACAGAAAAAGTTTGACTTGGGGAAAAACCCTACTATGTATTAGCTATGTGAAAAAGTGCTAAACCTCCAAGAGCCTGCCCTCTGTGAAGTGTAAGCAATATCTACTCCAAAAGACAATGCAAGTCAAAGAGTCTGAACAATGACTAGTGTGTAAGAGATACTCAGTAAATGCCAGTTCCTTTGTCCCCATACTCTTCATTCCCATCCTGACTTGCTGTAGAGAAAACTTGCAACCTCTAAATTTTGGAGTAAGATTCTTCACCTGATCACACCCTTCCAAATTTCAAGTTTCATCTGTGGATACAGGCTCCCCACAACTTCTGCTAGTACTGTAATTAGATGTCAGACAAAGTTGAAGCCCATGTGGGGGAAAAGGTGTGAATATGCCGTGTCAGAGGACAGGTGCAAATAACTAATCATCTGCTGATAGGACCTTGTGTGTAAATTAGTTAGCACCTCACTAAGAAATTAATTGAGGATACTTCCTAGGATATGCTGGAGGGCTATTTTAGGTCCTATGAGATGAATTCAGCAGAGTTTAGAGCAAGCTTAAGTTATGGCTTTCCAGACTACTTTGGGGATGAGTTTCCATAGAGAAGATATTTGAAGCTGATTCCCTAAATATAGGTACCCCAGGCAGAAAACAATTCCTTCTTTTTTTTTTTCAGTCATTTATGAAAAGACATTTATAACATAATAATTAAGAGATATAATGAAATGAGCATAGTGTCCATAGGATATGGACAACTGGCACTAAATATTTATTCTAACTTACTTCAACTGCAATTGTCTCTCTGTAAGAGCTAATATTCTTCACCTGTGATCATTTTAGAAGTTGCAAGTTCTTTGCATTTCTGGGACTTCCTATAGTTAGTATCAGCAATTCTATACACACTAGCATGATCTGAAAGGCAGAAATTAGGTGAAGGAAGTTTTCTTCTGTTTCTACTATCTCAGAGATAAGCATCATTGTGGACACATCTGGGTTTTCTGCAGCAGCTTTCTGAGAAAGGCCACTGCTCACTCTAAGAAAGGAATTTTCCATCATGTTAGCTATATTCCACAAAAATCGCTCTCAAAATCATTCCTGAAAAACTGAAATTAAGATCTGCATCATTAGCTTCCTCAGTGATTCTGTAAGCCATTTATAATCCTGTAATACACTCATATCTGCTTAAACCATTTATAGTAGATTCTATTTTCTACAAATAAACATCAACCACCAGTTAACTTTACACATTAAGTCAGTCTACTTTAGTGCTATCTCCATTTCTTCCTCATCCAACTTCTAAGTCATTTTCATAAAGAAAAGTCGTAAGGTACACACACTGACATGAACCAGGAAGTACCAATTATTGCACACAATTCAAAATTCAAGGCCAGCTTGACTGGAACTTTAAGTTTCTAAGTGCAATTTCAAGAACATGTTGTCCATCAATTGAAAACAATGAAGCTGATGTTCGAAGTCTATACAAATAAAAATCATTTAATTATGCCTCTCCTTACCTGTTATCAAATTTTTGCTTAAGGAAATAAGTAAAAAATAAGTTGTTTGTTAAAGATACAGGAACACCTATGTGTCATTAGCAATAGTATTTGCTCCTCCATAATTAACAAATTATAAAGGAATTAATAGGACTAAAAGGGATTTTGAGGACAGTAATCATGAAATGAAGTAGAAGCACATGTCCCTGGAAATCCACCTATATTTATAGTTTATAGGTGACAAAAGTAAGATCCATAGAGATTAAATGACTGATCCAAGGTCACATAACTAGTGACTAAGCCAAGCCTGCGGGAATAGCTCTGCACCATTCTACCCATGGCTAGAGATCCCCCCATGTGCTGATTTTACAATATTTCCTATGGGAATTTTTACACACCTGATCCAACCTAACTCTCCTGGCTCCTCAGAGCTTAAAATAGTCCAGTTACAAGACAACTGTTTATATACCTTGAGTCCCATGGAATGAGAAGTGGGGTGAAAGCAAGTCTTGGATCACCACAATAGATTCCAACGAGCAACATTCACTTCCCCTGGGATTTGAAGGCCTCAGGAGCAATCAGTTTAGTTGGCTTAGTTTTCAATACAAGGCAGATAGGGAAAAGCAGGCCCAGATACAGAATGAGAATAATGGTAAGAAAGAAACATCTCCTAAAAGAAAGTACAGAAATCAATACATCCTCCCTTCATCACAGTATAGGTATTAGCAGCTTTTTAGAGAGATCTGTTCCAGACTAAGAATACAAAAGATTACAAAAAGGAAAAATCTTATAAATGAAAATAAATAATATTAAAATATGTATACATGAGACAATTGTCTAACAATTAAAAGCATAAAGTCAAGAGTTTGACCGTTTTTCATGCCTAAACTTGGCATCTTAATACTTAGTTGTAAAATCCTAGGTAAACTGACTAACCCTCATAATTTTCTTATCTGTTCATAAAAAAGGGCTAGAGAACAAAATTCAGAACAGTTGGGAGGGCTCAAATGAAAGGACCTTACAGGTTTGTGCCTCGCAGAGATTAACATATAACAAAGGCAATGGAACAAAACTCATAGTTGACAATATGGAACCAAAGCTGAGAATTTTCCTAATACCTTAGGAGACTCTACCACTTGATTCATATACTCAGAAAAATCAGAACTGACCATCACAGTAAGGCTTCCAAACAGCAGGGTGAGAAGTGTGGCAGATCTTCTCCACTACAAAACAATTAACTGAGATAATTCTTTTCATTAGGGGCCTCAGATTCTGTAAAAATAATCAATTCAATGTACAAGACTGTCCCCTGTTTCTTTAATTCTAAGAAATTCTGTACATCAAGGCTACTTGGAATAAGTTTGACTTTGTAACCTGTTTATATGCATCCTAGTTCTAAACAGAATGATACTCATGTCAGATAACACAGAAATTAGATAAAGCTGATAAATATCATGAAACAATAGCTATAAATATTTCATTTAAATAGGGATCCCATACAATCACCTTTCTTTCAGAAAAGGTAGTAGAAAGGGAGGAAAGTAAGAAGTAAGGAAAAGTATGAATTGATAAGATGGTAAGTGGGAGAGGATATATGTTTTTACCACCCCAGTTGTAATACGAATCGTGCATACCATAGTCAATTATGACACATACATGAGTTTTATAAAATGCAAAGCAAAATGAATTGAAAAGACAAATTATACCTTCTGGGGGTGTCCCAATGCTGCTGCCAAGACCCAAAATAGCCATCTTGTGAATTCGTGGCTCAACCATCACAGCTGATTCTTCTCCCCTTTCCCAGTGGGGTATTTTGACTGGCTCCAAGTGGACATTTTCCAGTCCATCTTCCTGTAGATTTCGGTACATGATTTGGATGGCCTTTTCTAGGCTTTTGGAGCCACTTAGTCGGGGTCCAACAGTATCAACCAGAAGTGCCAGTCGCTCATAGGATCTGTTCTGGGCTTTACCATAAACAGCAAGATCGATAATTGCTTTAGCAATGTCTCCATAGCTGGCTATTTCTTCTTTCATTTCTTGAAAAGTTCTTTGAGAGACACCATCCTTATATATAGGTTTCCCAGAGTTCAGGGATAAAAGGTGAAGGCCAACAAATGTGAAAAGAAGGGATCTCATTTTTTTTTAGTTTGTTTTCTTCCTAAAAGTACCTATGGTGAGGAAGAAACAAGATTTAGGGAAAAGAATCACACAGTCATATGTCCATGTCCAGAGATTGCTTTTCAAACAGGATTCCTCTTTTCTACTCAAATATTCATTGCCTGACTTCCACTATCAAATTCAGGCATCACGGCCCTCAAGAATGAATAAAAGGAAATTTTTAGCCTTATTAATATGGCAGCATTTGTTAAAAGCATAGAAACGGGCCCTCCCTGGTGGCGCAGCGGGTTAAAGCGCAGCACTAAGAAACTAAAGCCACTTCCGCATGAGTTCTATCACCCACCCCCGGAGGTGACACACATGGTGTGGCAGAGCTCTCCTGACCCGCCCGCTGCCCCCATCAGCAGTGTACTTCATTGATCTGCCTGTTCTGCTCCCCACTCTGTCTCTGGTGAAGCCTCTTGCCACCCCTGCACCTCAGGCCTGTACCCCAGTTCTGTATGCATAAATCTTAAAAAAAAAACAAAAACAAAAACATAGACTCATGTTAGTCAGTGTAAAGTATGTTTAAAATACACTAATATAGACATTTAACTTATGCTAAAAGAGCAAAATAAGATAACCAGGAATGAGAAAGCAAGTGGTGGCAGCAGTGACAAGGCTGGGACAGTAGTATGTGTGACCGCTCCCTCCAGACAGCATGGTACAAAGCTTCCAAAGCTTCCCTCTCCATCCATGCTCTTTCCTCTGTATCTCTGCACTGTCTTTTTAGGCCCTTCCACATGTCATCTTTTCTGGGTGCTTGCCCTAACCCCTAACATTCAATTCTTACAACTCTATTAGACAGTTTCTTAGTGTAACCTTCATTTTCCATGAAGATCCTATTGGACCAAAATATGTATTAAGGAAATTGACCAACGACATATAAAAGTTTTCTAGCTCCGCTGTTTACAGTCCAAAGAGTGATATTAAAGCATGGCTTGTGAATGAAAGCCAAGTACTTTTCATTAGCCCACCGTGGATGAATACAGAGATTAGTAATAAACACATTCAGTGCTGTGCAATGCAGTAGCCAGTAAATTTTGCACAGTTATTCAAATTAAATGATTTAAATTAAATAATCGGTTTCTCACACTGGAGCATTTCAAATGCTCAACAGCCGCATGTCGCTAGTGGCTACCGTACTGGGCAGGGCAAACCAAACACCCTATCATCATAGATGGTTCTCCTGGAGCACTGGCTAAGGCACCTCTCTTGCAACCATCCTAGGCCCAGTAGGTTCGCCGTCTATTCTAGAAGTTTAAAAGAAAACTCTGGGTTTAATGGTAAGCTGGGAGAACCAGTCAGCAGCAGACACCAACCTGAGTCCCCTGGACATTTCTATAGTCTCTTCTCTGGGCTTTTTCTGGAGTTCTCGCTTGGTCTCCTCCTCTGGCAGCTGCTGCTCGGCCTCTCGAGCTGTTCTGCTGCAGCTGTGGCTGAGTAACACCGCCTTTATATCCCTTCCTCCTCAGCACACGTGTGCACACAGCACATGCGCAGACGCCCACACTCAGGTGTCTGTAATCAGGCTCGCGTGCCCCACACCCATGCCCCTTCCACCTTAACGAGATCAAGGCCACAGGTGATAGCCACAGTGGCCAATGGCATAAAGGCCGGGCCAACTTCGTTTACCCTACAGCTCACTTTATAGACAATTGACAAAGTAACTGTACATTTTTCTAATTCACTACTACTACATTACAAAGCTATCAGTCTGCATTAAATTTAATATCTAAGACTGATCTTTCACCACAGATATTTGAGAAGCAGCCATAAAATTAAGCCATGAATTTGAGTAAACTCCAAATTCAGCCTGTATACAAGGGCTTTCAAAATACGGATCCAACGACTATGACCTTATCTCTTTCTAAGTCTGTTTCTCTCTCTCTCTCTCTCTCTCTCTCTCTCTCTCTCTCTCTCACACACACACACACACACACACACACACACACACGCTAATATTCTATATTCTGAGCATTTAAAATGTGACTGGTCTAAAATGAGATGTTTTACAAGTATAAAATACATACAGGTGGCACAGCGGGTTACGGTGCAGTACTGCAAGCTGGCCGCAGCAGCCGCTACACAGCGGGTGGGATCCCTTGCGCCAGAGGTAACCCACATCACGCAGCAGATCTGGCAGTGTATTTCATCAGCCTGCCTGTTCTGCTTCCCATTCGGTCTCTGGTGAATCCTCTCACCGCCCCTCCACCCCCCACACACACCTCTGGCCTGAATCCCTGCTCTGTATGCATAAAAAAGTAAACTTTTTTAAAAAATACATACATGATTTTCTCCTTTAAATCAAATACTTCATACTAAGTATGAAAAACACACATACACACACACAAATATTGCAGATGTATTAGATTAAACGTGGTAGCTCCATTTGACCTGGACACCATTCTCCAAACACTCAGGGTCTTTCTGAACTTTAGGTCACAGCACACGTTCATTCTTCAAGGCCTTCTTCTCACCCTATTCCCTTTCATCTTACAAGTATCTCCACTCGTTTGTTAAATGAAAATGCTTTAAAATTACCTGTTTTGTGGACCTTCACCACCACAGCAACCTACAGTTATTTGAGCCATTTTATGTATTTTTGTCATAATCAACAATATTATCAAATAACTGATATATTTGATTATAGATCTTTCATATTTTCCATGTCTAGTCGGGTAAATTACTCATCATTAGGCTTCAATCATTGTACCCATGTGTAGGCACTCAATACATTTTAATTTAGTGGATAAATGAGTCCTTAATCTCACTAGGTCTTAACTTTCCCTAAGGTGTTTGAGTACTTGTCTAGTTCACTTCACAAAGAAGTGATAGAAATAAAAACTTGCTATCATATCTTCAATAATATGAAAACTATATACTGCCACCGTTTTTATTTTTGTTATAACTGTTTAATATACTGGTGCTTATTTAAAAAGACTAAGTTTTATCAAGCAAAGTATTTCAACAGATTACAATTCTTATATTTTTTCAATATGTTGTAGGTACAGAAAAAAAGAGGAAGAGTTAATAAGTCATCTGCTAATTAACACTAAACACAAATATCTACTTCTCATTAAAAATTCTCTACTCATTCTGCAAACATTAATTAACAGTTCCACAATACACATCAAATGATGAATCATATAATGACAGCATTGTAGTGATGAGGATTGTTAAGGGAGCCCTATCCCATACCCTTGCTTTGGAAACTTAAGCATAACCTGAGTTGTGATTCTCAGACAGCAGTTAAAGCAGTAGCTACAACCAACCAGGTAATTGAACCAATAGGACAGACTTCCTGAAGGATTAAGAATTGCTTTGTTATTGGACACTACTACATACATTTATGTGTAGTAAAAATTTACTGAAGGACTTCCAATCTGAGAAGCAAGTAACTAAATAACATAAGTATATATGCTTAAGCAGATTCATACAATGAATAAGCATGAGGAAACACTACTTGCTAGTTGATTCTAAACCTGGCTTTCCTTGGAACATAATCTGAAAATTACTGATATACTTCATGGCTAGAGTGTATAATTATATGTCACTCCAACGGAACACTGAAAGAATCCTTTTTTATTGGTTTTAGAAAGGTATATTAGCCCAACTAAGATATGTTTTCATTATTAAACAATAGAAAATTATTAACTGTCAATATTTTTTTTAAGATTTATTTATTTGTGCATACAGAACTGGGGTACAGGCCAGAGGCTCAGGGGCGGTGAGAGGATTCACCAGAGACAGAGTGGGGAGCAGAACAGGCAGATCGATGAAGCACACTGCTGAGGGGAGCAGCAGGCGGGTCAGGAGAGGTCTGCCGTGTCATGTGGTCACCTCCGGGGCAGGCGGGAATCGAACTCATGCGGAAGTGGCTTTAGCTTCTCAGTGCTGTGCTTTAACCCGCTGGGCCACCAGGAAGGGCCTAACTGTCAATATTTTAAGAAGTAACAAAAGTGGAACAAGATGTTTACTATATTACATTCCACTTTAGAAAAACACTATAAATAAATGCATAATTTTAAAATACAGGGACAATAATATGATATATAATTTGGGCATTTCTAGCAATAAATAGAGACTTATAATAAATTAGAACATATAGACAGAATAAAGCCAAGTAGAGACCAACAATCAAGGACAAATTGAAGAAATTCTCTCCTAATTCAGACAATTAGGATCTCTATACAGCACAAATTTCACTCTAGACCTGGTGCCAATCTAAATGAGAAAGAAGCTCAAAGGCACTGGTCTATTTATGTGAAAGAATTTAAGACATTAGCCCTCCTTACTGTGAAAAGACATGGACCAAAAGTAAAAATTTTTTTTGTGTAAAATCAAAATGGGTTTGGATAAGATGAATTTAAGATTTATTCACCAATTCCTTTCTTTCATATTAGGAGAGGTACTACTAGCTCAAAGCTAATTTTAGGAAAATCAAAATTCACAGTTTTACCCAATGAGTGATAAACATGCAATAGTTTACCAGAGAAAAGAAGAGGATTTAATAAAGTCATGAATGGCACAAGTGATTGGAAGCTGAGCCTTTTTAAATCTCCCACAAAACACTACGATCAGATTGACCCAAATAGGGTCTACTGATCTGAAAGACCTGTCAGTCTGCCCTTGTTCAGAAATACAAATGTCCCAAGATAGCCATTTCATCAAGTAAATGAAGCAAGCTACAGTGGTATTTTTCTCCAATCTGCAAAGGGGGGAAATAATTCTACAGTGGTTTCAAACATTTCCTCTTCGTTAATTGCAAAAGACATTTCATTTGGGTTATAACTTTATCTCTCCATTCATTTAGCAAAAATGTATTGAGCACTAACGAAGCAATGAAGATGCCAGTTTCAGGGTAATTTTATACATCCTCAAAGAACTGCTCAGTGTCACTGAGAGAGAGAGATGTCCGATGACTTAGCTGAGGTTCTGGAAGACAATGTGTTTGAGCTAAAGGTGAGCAAGTGGAAAAGGTAGGAGTGCCCTGAAGGCCCAACTGAGA